CCATTATCTTATACGGGGTATTTTTTATGGCGTCGCCAACCTCGCAATATTTAAAATGCTATATCGCTATTTTGCAACACCCTGTATATTATTTTTCTTTTAGATGCACAATTAAAAAAAACAAAAATGTTTTGTATTTAAATTGTTCCTAAATGATCCCAAAATGAAAATGTAAACCCTGAAAGATTTCAATTTGAAAAAACTTAAGCTAAGGAAAAGACACAATCATCTTCAGCAACACTTTTAAAAATCCTGCTGGTATAGAATAAAATTAAATGCAAAGTTAATATTTTATGTGTAATCTATAATTTGTAATTCAATAACATAATAATCATAAATTTTATGTTAATCCATCCTAATGGTTATTGAAGTGTATCTACTATTACATTTATATGTTCGTCAATAAATTATTTTGCTAGAATGTAGACAATTAAAATGCCATTTATAAAATACAATAATTATAAACAAAATATGAAGAGGACGTGATTCGTAATATTGGATAATTGAATATTTATATTTCTATATGTGCGGGAGTAAATAAAACTAGTTTAAACGCAATTTTTCATAGTTTATATATAACTCATTTCGACAAATGAAACCGTTCGTTGTTGAAAATCCCAGTTTTCCTTGCCGATTTCTTTGATATGCATATCTCTGATCTTGCAATATTGACTTACTACGCAAACGACGAATAAAGAAGAACGCACACTGAATCGACTCGGACCAGTCGACTCGACTAAAAACTATCGGCAGGTTTAGGTCTCGGTTTAGGTATACCGACATAGAAATAAATGTAATCATCAGACGTTTCGTCAAGTCGACGGATCTGAAGCAGTGCGCGGGATTGACGTCGAGCAGTCCGATAATTACATTTATGTGTTTATGTATATAGATGTGTTTAAAAACTCCATTATAACATGTAATGCAAGGCTCATAGAAAGAGTAGATAAATTTCAGTACTTGGGCATCTGGCTCTCCGAAGATTGGACATCAGACAAGGAAATTAAATGTCGCATCGAACAAGCTCGGCAGGCATTCTTGAGGTTCCGAAAAGTACTTGTCTGTTCTGATTTTGACCTTAACCTTAAATTAAGATTCGTAAAGTGTTACGTGTGGTCGGTGCTCCTTTATGGTATGAAAGGTTGGACATTGAAAGCAGCTACCATTAATAAACTAGAGGCTTTCGAGATGTGGCTATATCGCAAAATTCTAAAGATACCTTGGACTGCCTAGGTTAACAAATGAAGAAGTTCTGACACGTGTTAACAAACAGCACGAATTGTTTGAATTGATTAAGAAGCAAAAAACCGCATACCTGGAGCACATAATGCGAAACCCCAAATATAAATTCTTGCATCTGTTAATCGAAGGCAAGATCGAAGGCCGGAGGGGTAGAAAATGTCTTGGCTGAGGAATGTTCGACAGTGGATAGGCCGACACGATGTACAGTCGTTAATAAACACCGCCAGGAACAGAGAAGCGATAGAAAATGTCAGTAGCAAACATCCATTAATGGATTTGCACTAGAACAACAAGAAGAACATATACCGAAAGCTGTCGATAGCTCTTAGTAGTAGTACTCGAGTCGACCGGTCGGAGTCGATTCAGCCTGCGTCCTCCTTATAAGTACGTCTTCGGCAAAAAACTATGTAAAATACGTTCCACGATTGCACAGACACTCAGCTAATACAGCTACTTGTATATTAAATTAAGCTATTTGACATAGGTAACATCTGGAGCAGAAATATTATTCCTACGCATAGAGTGACGTCATTTTATAGAATACCTATTTTATAAATAGGTATATATCCCAGTGAGCAAAGTTTTGTCATAAAGTTTTGAAAATTTAGGAAACAGTTACGTATCTGCGTTTTATTGCTTCTTATCAGGCAAAAGATGGGCGTGGTAACGTAACAACTACGTCACCTAGAACACATTTCCCTTAAAAGTCTATTACGCTATACTTTCGGGTTGCTCTCAGGGGTCGGGTAAAGCGGGTGTGTGGCCGTAGGAAATATATATTATATTCGCGTCCAGTCCGAATGTATTATCTTGATTTTTCTATACGTAGTACCGTCCCTGCGTGCACAATTTTAAAGCTATAAGCTAAATTCCCTCCCGCTACCAGTCTAGGAGGCCGCGCCGGCCCTGGCGCGGCGGTCGGTATTCATTCGTCTTTCGTGCACGGTGCGGTGCGGATCGTAGCTCTCCGATTTCTTCGTCGTAGATCGATGAAGCCATTTTGTTTATTCTCTACTCATTTTGGATATTACTATGTAATATACGGTGTTCTACAGCTAGGTAGAACACAAGGAACAATATGTAAGTATTGTATAATATTTATTTTTAGAGAAAAACGAAGTGGACGTAAATAACGGAATATTAGAATTAGATAAAAGAAGAAAACAATAAGAATATTATATATATATATATATATATATATATATATATATATATATATATATATATATATATATATATATATATATATATAATATTCTTATTGTTTTCTTCTTTTATCTAATTCTAATATTCCGTTATTTACGTCCACTTCGTTTTTCTGTTGTACTCTCAGTGAGACAAAGTTCGTACGTGTAAAGAATGTCCTTCTCCTTGTAAGAGGAATTCTCATTTATATAAGGTTCTATATCTCGCAGTCAAGAGAATATTATAAATGCCAAAGTGTTGCATCTCCGAGTGAGTCAAATTTCGTACTTTTAGAGGATGGCCATATGAGAGAGATTCCTTTTATAAGTCAATATTGATATCCCACTATCGAGAGATAAATTACAGGTATCACAGGTAAGTATCTTATAATATTTATTTTCAGGTAATTAAATAATGGAGGGAAATAATTGAAGTGGAAGCAAATCTCTAAATGTAGAAATTAGAGGCAAGGAGGAGACAATGGAAGTAGACAAATGGAGAAAGCAATAAGAATATCGTATATATCGAACTGTTGTGCTCCCAGTGAGACAAAGTTTCCTATTTAGAGAATGCCCTTCTCCTCGTGAAAGGGATTCCTATTATATGAGGTTAGAAATCTGGCTATCAAATAATATTATAAATATCGAACTGTTGTTTTCCCAGTGACGCAAAGTTTCCTATTTATAGAGAATGCCCTTCTCCTCGTGAGGGGGATTCCTATTGTATGAGGTTCTAAATCTCTCTATCAAGAGAATATTATAAATACCGAAGTTGTGCCGAAGTGTTGTATCACCCAGGGAGTCAAATTTCTCATTTTTCGAGAATGGCCGTCTCCGTGTGAGGGATTCCTTTTATAAGTCATTGTTGATATCCCCTATCGAGATATTAATTACACGTATTACCGGTGAGTATCTTATAATACTTATTTTTAGGAAATTAAATAATGAATGGAAATAATTAAAGTAAAAGCAAATTTCGAAATATGGAAATTAGAGGCAAGGAGGAAACAATGGAATTAGACAAAAAGAAAAAATGAGAATAACATATATATATCGAACTGTTGTCCTCTCCGTGAGACAAAGTTTCGTACTTACAGAGAATGCCCTTCTCTTCGTGAGAGGGATTCCTATTATATGAGATTCTAGATCTCGCAATCAACAGAGTACTATAAATGCCGAAGTGTTTTATCTCCCAGCAATGAAATAAGGTATGAAACAAAATTTTGTACTTTTAGAAAATGCCTATCTCTGGAATGGATTTCTTTTTTTATGAGATTTTAGATCTCACTCTCAAGGGAATATTATTTATATATTTAGGTGCCAAATATTTGTATCTCCCAGTGAGACAAAATTTCGTACTTTTAGAGAATGCCCATCTCCGTGTGGGAGGGATTTCTTTTATACGTTATCGATAGCCTTATCGAAAAATTAATTACACGTATTACATGTAAGTCTTTTAGAATATTTATTTTTAGACGAATATTGGATGGAAATAAATAGAAGTACATCCCGAAATGTGGGGATTAGAGGAAAGGAGAAAACAAAGGGATGAGGAATATTGTATAAACACGGACTGTTCTTCTCCCAGTGTTCTTTTCATAGCGAGACAAAGGTTAGTACTTTTAGATAATCCTCTACTCCGTGTGAGAGGGATTCCTTTTTTAAGATATTCCAGAGCTCGCTATCGAGATAATATTATAATAACCGAAGTGTTGTTGTCTCAATGATACAAAATTTTTTAATTTTAGTGAATGCCCTTCTCCGTGTGAAAGGGATTCCTTTATAAATGACGTTCTCGGTCTCGTTATCGTAGAAGTAGATTTCACAAAAGAATTTCAAGTGATAAATCTAAAAATTTTAGACCCTCAAAAAAAAAACGATATATTTCAACAGGAAAACTCCCCCACACATTATATTTATAAGGCTGTACGTTCAAAAAGCAGGACAGTCGTTATTTAAGTGTCACTATCTCATAACAGATCGAACACAAGGTCAGCAACTAGGAAGAGGAAAATAACCAAATCTAGCGATTTGTGCAGTTTGTTGGGGGAAGGGCAATCCAAAGAGACTACAGAACATTCGACTCTTCGATGATGATACATTCTTCTTCGGGAGACGAATTCAGTCTTAGCCAATGATCTGGCTTCAGCACAGAACAAGGTCCAACTTTTATATCTGAGAAAATATTTTAGCTCCCTAATTTACCAAGGAGCCATGGCATGTCGCCTATCCTCTCCTGTGTCATAATTGTTAAGATGAAGTCCAGCATATTTTCGAAATCAAACTCTTAAAAAAAAATATCTGGGTTATAAAATTTAACAATAGTCGTCATAGACTTAATATTCTTTTAAAGGAAGAGAAAAATATTCATAAATATATCATGGAACAAATATGGACGGTTGTTATAGATACCGGACGCATAGTCCTAATGTGGTTGACGGTATCTGGATAAATTTACGTTTGAACCTTGCTTAGAGGAAAAGATACAAACAACGGAATGTATCCAGATATTTGTGACAGATATTCGAATATGTCTTTACCTTCCTTCTTTGAAAAAGAGGGGGGGGGGTGATACATGAGGCACGAGCGGCCAATTCCTCCAGTTTGCTGCCTTGCCAGCCTCCTACCATAAAATAGGCGACAACCAACTTAACGTTGACCTCCAAGTCATTAAAAGTAATCAACTTAGCTGACCAGCTAATAATATAATAACTCAAATATGTATATAATAATAAAATAGCTAATATCCTAGATTTTCATAGCTAATATGTAGTGTGTGTGTGTGTATATATATAAAGAGGAAAAAAAAACGTCTCCTATTTTTCTCTATTTTGGCTAAAGAAATTTCTCTATTTTGGCTAAAGCTATTCTAATGGAAATGTAAGTTTTATTCTAAATCTTAAGAACACGTAACTGTGTGTCATTTCAAAAGGAGGTCCTTATGATAACGGCTGTTAAATGCTAATTTGTTTATGTAAATCTTTGACTTTCATATGTTGAAATACTCACCATCTACATTTAGAGTTTATATTTACCCATTTCGGTCTATAAAAGCAGTGTTGTGTTTTGGCCAATACTTTATACATTTTGACAAAGTGACAGACTTTGTGCAAATTATCGAAACAAAAAGTTAGTTTTTTCTTAAGCTTACAGTATATAATATATATTTTCTCCTCTACAATACACTTTCGAAAGAGATGATTATAATAACATTAATGTAAACTTTCGCAGACTTTGAATTTTTTCTTAAATATATCTGGATGGTTTCTCGTTGAAAGAGGCTTTTGTAAGATATGATGTGTCTAAGGTAGAGATGAGCAAAACTGCGATTTTCCAATCGCAGTTGAAACTGCGATTGTGATTTGTAAATCGCTGCGACTGTAACCTGCGATTGCGATTTTGATATTTTTAAATTGGTACGCTGTAAACTGGGAAGCTCAATCCCAAAATTTTTGAGAAAAAACAGAATAAATAGGGGAATAATTTTTTTTTAATAAAATCTTACAAAGAAACTGTTGGGTGTTTCGATGCCATATGTTTTTAAAGTGTTTTTTATTATATTTTGCTCTGCACACATATTGCAATTTTGTAAAATTTTCATCAATTACCAAAAAAATCAAACCAAACCAAACCAAACCACAAATAACTTCGTTTCCTTTTTAAACATTTTTGATAAGAATAGACCGAATAAATTTAACAGGGAAAAAAAAATACATAAAATGTTCAAAATATCGAATGTGCTTTTAGACAGTCTGTAGGTATACTAACGAAAAATTTATTATAAAAAAGGTTGCCGCCAACCTTAATTCAGATAACGAGAAAAAAAACTGTTTATTTTATCTTTTTTTTTTCTTTTAAAAACATTTTCTTTATATGTAACTCAAAAGAAGCCGACGCCGACGGCTTTGATACGGCCCGTCCAGTGCAAGTGCAAACTTTCGAACTTTTAGATAAATAAAAGGACAATATCACATTTTATTATATTTGAAATTTCTCTAAAATGAAAAAAAACTGATTGTAAAGGATGTATTTAAATTAACATAGCAGCCGATCCACAATTGTTTAGAAAATTATATTATATTATGGATTGTTATAAAAATGTTTATAATAATATAATATACATATAACAAAATATAATAAAGAGAAAGGGCTGTTTCTTTTTCGTGCTCTATATCTTCTAGTAAATAAAGGATAAAAATAGATATTTTTTTATAATTTGAATCCAAAACTGTCCTTGAATGAATTATTTTACCTGAATCATTACCTGGGAGCAACTGTAACTATAATTAGTCATAACCGAAAACAAGAATTTTTTAACCTTCTAAATCCATAATTATATTATAAATCTAAAACTATTATCAAAATTTAAAACTAAAAAATTATACATATATATTATGCGGTATATAAACATATATAAGCCTATTTTCCAACGCTTCATAAAAATTGCGGGGCCATGATTGCGAATGTGATTTTGCGATCTAGTCTAGGCCGATGTGTTGAGAGCTGCGAACGAAAATCACAATCGCAGCTCTTCGTTGGCGTGCCCACTCCCAATGCCGCGCCGCCGGTGCCAACGAAAATCGCAATCGCAATATTGGGATGAGCTGCGATTTTCGTTCAGCTCCTCGTTCGCCTGCCCACTGCCGTGTTGATGACGCGCCGCCGCCAGCCGGTGCGTACGAGAATCGCAATATTGCGATTTTCGTTCCCAGCTCATCGTTCGGCTTCTCAGTGCCGTGTCGATGCACCGCCGGTGCAAACGAAAATCGCAATGCTGTGATTTTCGTTCGCGTGCCCACTGCGATTGCAAATCGCAACTGGTGTAATATTGGTTGCCTAAAAATCCAAAATCGGCAGATATATGTTTCAATCGCAAGTCGCAGTTTGTTATGGAAAGGAATCACAGGTTGCGATTGCGAATTTACAATCGCTGCGACTAAATCGCAGTTTGCGATTTTCTGCTCATCTCTAGTCTAAGGTTTACTGCATTCAAATTTTACCATAAATGTTCCCTAACAGTTCTACTTTCTTATCTAGAAATTTCGGAAAGAATAGACATATCAATTAAATCATAAAGTAGAAATAGTTTTCTTGCAGTTTTACGTATATAAATAGATTATATAATTCTTGCCGTGAACTGCTATGAAAAATAATAAATCATATATTGGTTTCACGTTTAACCTTAGATATCAGAGACAGATGTCAGTTTGTTTTTAGTCAGTATATAATTATATATGCATATCATAGTTACTGAAAATTATCAACAAAAAAAAAATAATACAAATAATAATAAAACTTCTGGTATAAAATTGACACAGATCAATATCTGTGTCTACTTTATATCAATGTCCACAATATCCATACCAATGTATGGATCGAAACCTAATATATATGATGACTCTGGTTTAATTCATCGACGTAATTAAAGCATTTTGGAAAATAAATTATTGAGAATCTTAATTTCTTACTAAAGGCTTAAAAAGTAAGGCCTTTTAAATATTAAGCAATGGGTTATAAACACCTTAAAAAATATATATATCGGTTAAACCTCACTATAGTCGAGTTATCCACGCAGTTCTACATTGAGACAGGGATTTCTATCGACACGATGAGTTAACTGGTTTATAAAGTATAATTGAACAATTTTGGCAGAATCCTTTATGGAAGTGCCATCTTATGGGTTTCTGTCTCTGCTTAGTATACATATATGTATAGGTTAAATTGTCACAATTTAATAAATCCATGTATTGATGGCCGTTAAATTGGTTTCATCTTGGTTGCATTCAATAAACATATTTATAATTTCAGCTATTTTTGTCTCAAAAAAAATGCTTTCTGCACCACATTCATTAATTTGCAACCATCAGTTCTTTAAACATCTACGTATAGAAAAATCAAGATAATACATTCGGACTGGACGCGAATATAATTATACGATCAAACGAACTTACCTGAAGTGAAGTTCGATCGTAATTATATGAGGCGTCCAGTCCGAATGTATTATCTTCCCACCCCTCCCGTTTTGGCCCCATGGTCGCTTGAATTAATGAATAAATCTTTGAAAAATGAATACCGACCGCCGCGCCAGGGCCGGCGCGGCAACCTAGACTGGTAGCGGGAGGGAATTTAGCTTATAGCTTTAAAATTGTGCACGCAGGGACGGTACTACGTATAGAAAAATCAAGATAATACATTCGGACTGGACGCCTCATATAATTACGATCGAACTTCACTTCAGGTAAGTTCGTTTGATCGTATAATTATATTTCAGAAATCTGCCTAAAGCTTAACCCGATCCTGTCGTGTTAAGCCATACCCACAATTCCAAACACACGTGCTTTTATTAAGGCTTAATTAAGGTTTGCAGAGCTTCAGCATTTACCATAAAATACAATTTGTTACAAAACCATATAAATTGTAACCCTGTAATCAAAAGCAAAACTTCAATCTATTTCCGTATTGTAACGGAATTTTAAATTATGTCTTTATTTTCGAGAAAATTTAGTCCAAACATAAGGACTATTTTGTTGATGTTTGACCATCAAAATCTTAAAAATAAAGAAATTGTGCTACAATACGGATATAGTATAATCCTTTATCTTTAATTTCCTTCTTCATTTGTGTAAAAATACCTATCCAGTTTTGCATAAAACGTTAAATGCCGAACGCTTATTTTGCTACTTTTTCGGACTAGTGAAATAGACTCTTAAAGGAATAAAATGATCACTGGGATTCATTTCACTAATTATTTAAAAGTAGAAAAAATGTCCATAGTGTCTTAAAAGCTTACTTTACCTTATATATCGAAGAAATACGATGAATCCTGGATTAACCATTCTTTTATCGAACTGAGATAGCAGTCCATAGGCCACTAACAATCCACTCAACAGAAAAAATGAATCCACGAACAGGTCTCCATGGAAGAGGACACAAGCAAACGGTGCTCTATATTGCTGAAAAAATCCAATTTTATATTATAAAAAAGTTTGGTTAATCTACTTTAAAACAAAAATACAAAAATCTTCCTACTAGACTAAAGGCCCCCACAGACGCTTAGTCTTATCACTATGCGGTCTTGTGCATACCTGGTTTGTGCAGGTATTATACCGTATGATCGAAAAAAACGGCGTCCAGTTGGCCGGGAAATGACAATCGATGACATTTCCCATATAAATTTACATATATAAAATGACAGCAATCTTCATTTCATAGCCATCGCTGACGCCGTTTTTTCTCGATCATACGGTATAAGTATGTGGAAAGTTCGGGCCATCTGTACAGGGTGTCCCATTTTGGTTGAAATTATACGGTATCTCCGTTATTAGGAAAGGTAGGAGGATGCGGTTTGCACAAACCTGCCCCACTTTTTGTCAAACGGAAGATGCTGTAAACAAAATTTTCATAGCGTTTCTGAGCTACAGGGTCTTATCGAAAATTTTGCAATTTGGGACAGCTCCCGTATCTCCGTTATTATGGACAGGGCCGGCGGTAGGGAAATATTGAGACCGGGCGAGTACCCACCTGGCGCCCCCCCCCCCCTAATACACTACTCAAAACAATTAATGCATATTTGGGTAAAAGTGATTATTACATATTTCTAAATAAAACATGCATTTTTCTGCCTTTCACTTGTGAGTTTTTTTAGGATAATTAGGGTACGCACTGATATGTAATTTTTAGTCGGCCGACTGGGGTGCGTATCGAAAGTGACTCACCCCTATAATTTTTTTTATTTCTTTAGATAAAAAACGAGATTTGGTATGTTAATATATGACATAAATTAGAATTGATTGGGACACTTTCTGTTTCACCGGAAATGACTAAAATTTTTGATTTTTAAATCTCGGTATATTTCTACTTTATTCGATAGAAAATGACACTGAGTAGAATGAAATATGTAAACTTTGGGCATTTTCTTTCAAAAAATATTATATTTTAAATTTCTATCTACAGTGCCATGGTTCCGTTAAAAATATCTACTAATTTTTAAACAAGGAGCCTTGGAAAAATAGATTTGATCGTCTATTGTTTTTCGTGTTTTGTCCTGGCCGGTTAAAAGATGCCAAAATCGTATTTTTAATCGAAAATATCAAAAGTTGGCATATGTCATAAAGTAGAGGGTGCTATTTAAATACCGAGGGTGCCATTTAAAAATCAAAAGTTGTAGTAATTTCCGGTGAAACAGGAAGTGATCAAAAACAATTGAATAGGTCAATTAATCCTAACTTCTGTCGTATTTAACGTAATAAATAAACAAGTTATAGGAATGAGCCACTTTTGAGACGCATCCCGTATAATATAGAGTTATAAGAAATAGAATTCCAACTTTGGCAGTCTCGTCTGGTATAAGTGATCTTTGAAAATATTAGTATTTAGTTTCAAGCAGTTGCATTATTTTTCTATAAGAATTTAAGAAAATTTTCTTTTCTTTAAAAAAAATTTCACAATCAATTATTTCGTGCAGAATCAGTTTATGATCAGATATAGTTTTGTCGGCTTCAAAATGAAGTTACTCATTTTGAAGTGTGAGAGATGCATTCTTATGTCGTGCCCTAATCAGAAAATTCTCTACGATTCTGCTACCATTTTCCGTGTATTACTACACATTCAATTCGGAACAACCAAAACTACCAAAAGATTGATATCTTTGCCCACTACTGTTAATAAATTAATTTAATTAATGAGGCAAACTTATAAGCTTCTTTTTGATAATAAGGATATCGGGATCCTCTTTAGCTTCTTGTGAATAAATATTTACCTCATATAATTTTAGGGTATATCAGCCATTAATAACAAATAAAAGGTGAGGGTAGTAGAAAAAGTGCGATTTTGAGCAGTCAGTCTAAAACTATCAATTTTGCTGGCTCTTGACCCAAAACAGTTCGTTTAGAGAAAATGTATAAAAACAAGAATTATAGAAAGAAAGGTTATTTATAAAAAGTTGATAGCTTTTGAGTTATAGGTAAGTAAAATAACACGAACAAATCAGATTTATATTTTTTTATTTTATTTTAAGATTTTTCCACGAAAATGGATTCGCAAATCGAAAAAAACATATAGAATAGAAGAAATCAAAACTATCCGGAAGCCTTTGTGCTAAGGATTTTTTGAGCATAATTTCAGTAAATTATAATAGGATACGTCTAGGATATAGTAGTGTTTATAATGTTTAATCAGATATTCTTCCCTATGTGGTGTGGTAATTGCTAATATTTTAATGTGGAAATTAATAGTACCGATTAATTATTGATCTGGTTATCCGTTACTATTTGTTTAGATTACTTTTTTAAAATATTTTAGTTGCTGTCGTGGCGCCCCTCACATCCGGCGCCCTGGGCGGCCGCCCGGGTTATGGATGATATTGAACAGATGAAACCTGATTCTTGTAAAACTTTTTACGTAAAATACTGTGGCGTAGTCTGTTTTTCTACAAAAAAAAATATTTCTGCAAATATGAACTAATAATAATAATAGCTCCCGTATATAGCGTTTAACGCCTTGAGAGTAGCAAGTTACAGCTTGCTATACTAGAGCCGTTCGGTATACAAGGAAGGTAATGTGGCTAGCACTACGCTTCAACCGCCTATTATTCAACCTCAGGATTGTGAATCCCAAGTACTCATTTAAGGCTGAGTCGACCTAGATACCCAAACTATTTTTATTTTAATAAAAATAGTCGGCTGATGAAATGCCGGGTGTGGGAACCGAACCCACACCTTGAGATTGGTAGACGAGAGCCTGTACCTCTACGCCACCGGGCACCTTAATATGAACTAAAATTATGTTTTTTCTAATGCAAAACCCTGTATATTTATAAATCATATGATCCGTCTGAGCTGCTATGAGCTTATCAAAAATATATATCACTCCATATTTATTTTCACTATTTACCGCAATATTTAAAATATATCATTTTTTTATTATTAGGCCGTAATATATTACGGCTATAATTTATAAATAATTACCTATTATTTTTTTGGGGATTGATATATTTTACTTTTGAACAGTTACCACTGAATCTCTGAATATATTTTTATTTATTTTTATAACGGAATTTATTATTACAGTTGGGGGTTGGAACTTTTGGTGTTACACAGCAAAATAAAACACTAAATCACCACAATACACCAAAACACTTTTACTTTTACACTGGACGCGCCTTTCGCTAACCATGTTAGCATCATCAACAGATGATTAAAACTTATCATCTGCTGATGATGCTAACATGGTTAGCGAAACGCGCGTCCCGATCCGATGTGGTGATTTAGTGTTTTATTTTGGAATTTATTATAACGGGATGGGTTTGCAAATATCTAAAAACTTGCATTATTAAAGCATTTTCCAGGTGTTCGACATTGTTGTAGTTGCCACGATATATTTCATATTTCAATAATCCCCAATATCAAAAATCAAGAACGGACAAATCCGGGAATTAGGGAGCCCATTATATGGGTCCAATCAATGGTGCCAATTCATTGATTTGAAAAATAATAATTTAACAAAATTCTAATATTTTCAAAGTTATGAAGGGGAATCCCGTCTTACTGGTATAAAAGTATATTTCACATAAATTAGCTAAAGAAATATGTAATAAGTTCCGGTAAGATAGCTTCCGAGATTTACAAATAGCGGTAGAGAGTTAAGTTTCTCTAATATATAAAGAATTTATTGGTGGCTCCCAAAATATAACAAGAGACAGACAGCAGTATATTAATAATTCTTTAGTTTCTTTTATTAACAATCATGGCCTACTAATAAATATGATATACATATAAATATCTTTTAATATTTTTTTCTTAATATTGCAGTAAATAGTGAAAATAAATACAGCCTAATATATATTTTTGAGAAGCTTATGGCGAGTTAGATCATATAATTTAAATTTATAAATATACGGGGTGTTCCATTTAAAAAAACATAACTTTAGTTCATATCTTTAAAATATTCTTATTGTAGAATAACAGACTACGCCACTGAATTCTACCCGCAAAAAGTTCTACAATAAACAGTTCTTCTTGATACCTTTAACAATAACAGAGATACAGAGAGTGTCCCAAATTGCAAAATTTTCAAAAAGACCTTGTAGCTCAGAAACGAAGAGGTCTATGAAAATTTTGTTTACGGAATCTTCCGTTTGACAATAAAGTGGGATAGGTTTGTGCAAACCGCATCCTTCTATCTGCACGAATATCGGAGATACCATATAATTTCAATTAAAATGGGATACCCTGTACAGAACGCTGGCCTAAGCGTGACCTGAGCGAAATAAAATCCCAAATTAGCACCCAAAGCCAGGTCTTGCCGACCGTGTATACTTCCACAGGTCTAATTTTTATCCAAAAGGACTTTTTTATCACTATGTTTTTTTGTAAATCAAATTAGACGCAGACATTTTTGTGTGACCTATTGAAATACTTTGAAAGACAAAGAAAAAACTAAGTAACTAAGAATTAACTAACTACACTAACTAAGAATTGTTTTTTCTTTTCTACTCACTATTTCCACATAATTGAAATTAATCAGTGCCGATGACGTAAAGGTTCCAAATCTGTGATCCATGATAATAACCATGATGGCGATGGTTCTAAGACCGTAGAGAATATTCAAATCATCGTTAGTAGTTTCCTTGTGGGTCATTTCCACAAAATTCAACCTTGCAGAAAAAGCCAGTATCATTTTTTGGCCTAAAGTCTCTAAAATAAATCAATGAATTTCGTTTTAGTAACTGCAGGTAGTAATGTCGTGTTATACAGCAATGTGTTTCTCTCTTCCAATGTAGTTGGAATTAATTTAAAGAAATGTAAGGTATGAGCACAAAATTTATACAATTTAGATGAATGAGTGACTAATGTAGCAAATTCGATAACTTTCTTCAAAACAATTTTTATTATTGACAACAAAATTAATAAAATCTGGTTTCTAAATATATTTTGGTTAATTTATTATTGTCAGAATATGAAATATTTTATACGCATCTTAAAGGTTCGTATGTCAAAAAGAAGAATGGCAAATCATCGCATTTTTTCTAGTACGAGACTAGCAAAAATGCCGTGAGTTGACATTTTTGCTTCCATTTTCAAATTAAAATAATATACCAGCCTCAAAGAAAAGATTTTTTTACTGTCTCGAGATTTTTGTTAATACCTCGATAGTAATGAAATACCCACTTCTGTATAGTTTTTCTGAAGTCAGTTGGAACAGATTGAGACTCTTAATTGCGGCACTGTCTTTGTCGGTGCCATTATTTGTCAGCGTCGGTCGTCTGCACTACAGAATTAAAAGTCTCAGTACATCCCATTGACTTTGGAAATACTATTCCACAGCTTACTATACTCCGAATGTAATATAACTATTACTCACTTTTGACTGGTTTCTCGTCAGATTTCGGTTTTTTTGTTTGATAATCGTACGTAGTAGATATAAGGACCAGTACTGCCAAAATTAGTGTGATTAAGCTGAAAAATAGTAATGACAATAACACCAATACTTTTCAATCGTTATACAGGATCATATCATTGTTACCATCCTTACCCAAAAGAATAATCAGCATTATTATAATGCTGTTTCTCATAAGCCCTCGTACAAAATTCTGGCTTAATAAAGGCAGTGTAACTGATGTTCTTCTTCTCCAAAGGTACATCTATGGTGTTTAAATATCTGTTCAAAGATAACTCTAAATCGTGTAAGCTACATGATGCTGGAATACACCATCCGAAGTTCACAGTGTCTCTAGCTTGCTGAGTAACATCTTTGTATCTCTAGAATTTAAATCAGACGAAAGAAACTAAGACTAAATGTATTACTAGATTAATATACACGGAAAAAATAAATAAATTCAAAGAGTGCTGGTTAAAAAATAAACTTAGAAACTAAAAGAGTCATAAATATTAATTGATATAGAACCGTCATTTTTTTATTTAAATCTTGCAATGCCGAACATTTTACATATACAAAATTATACTTCAGTTGGACACGTCCTCCTAGATCACCATGTAGTAATACTTCTGTCACTGTTTTGAGCGCATGTTTAAAGAAAATGATTCACCGCCTCTTATATCACACCACTTTTGTATCTCATTATACTTCTTGCGCTGGCACGAGCAGCAGTGTAAATTTAGCAGACAATATTTTATACAAAACTCGCGGAAATGGGTAAAGAAAAGAGAAATATGTGGTGAGGAAAGGGCCAAGAAAAGGCGGAAAATGAAAAAACTTGAAAAGAAACTCTATACATATGAATCAAGTAAGTAAATAACCTTTAATTCCCTAATTAGTTTTTTTTAGTTCATACAAGTAAACAAGGGTAGTAGAAATAGCTATGAGTTGGTCTAGGGGGTGTAGGCTATTAGTCTACACCCCGCATTACCTAAAATTATATTATTTTCTTCGGCGACGCAGCCGTAAATTGCCTGCCTTAAAACATACCATTCATGAGTCATAGCACTATCGAATCCGGTAAATAAACAACTTTTTATCGACTCGAATATAAGCAATTTTTCTTATCGGCTCGATAAAGTAAACCTATATTAAAATTTAACGGTACCTAAAAGTTATTTTCGGCATAGAAAATGTGGGCTCTTGCTAAATAATCAAGTGCCAGTAATACCTACAGGGTGCTAATAAAGTACTTGCTAAATATCCAAGTACCGGCAACACCCATTGGGCGTCAATGTCCTACAAGATTACTTGCTAAATATTGAAGTTCAAGTCTTAGTTGCACTTGCTAAATATTCAAGTGCCAGTAACACCTACAGGGTGCTAATAAAGTACTTGCTAAATATCCAAGTACCGACAACACCCATTGGGTGTCAATGTCCTACAAGATTACTTGCTAAATATTCAAGTTCAAAATCTTAGTTGCACTTGCTAAATATTCAAGTGTCTAGAAAATTAGCGTAAAAGGCCAAAGCCCAAAGTCACTTTGGCAACCCAAAAGAAAACAAATATGTGTTCGGAAATATGAATTAAGTCTTATCCTTAACGCAATATTTTTGTTTATTTTTAGACATGTCGCTACCTGTAATGGTTATCAATAATAGTGAGACAAATATTATGATTCTGTCTAATATTTACTAGCTTGGATACTAGTTAGTATTACTAGCTAGCCAGCATAGTCTTTGACTGTCCACATAATTATATACACGTATAAATATAAATAGGCAAAGAAAAACTCATTTGTAACCCAGCATAGTCCTTGACTTATGCACGCTAGTATGTCTCCGAAAACTATTAACATGATCTGTATTTTCCGGCTGGATCTGGAAAATGGTGAGACAAATATTAGAATTTTACTTAATATTTACTAGCTTGGGTAATCCACCTTGTGGATATAAACATATGCTCATATAAACATTGTAACCCAGCATAGTTCTTGACTTATGCACGCTAGTATGTCTCTGAGAACTATTAAAATGATCTGAATCTTGGATCCGTTATTTTGTGGCTGTTTTTGAAAAATATGCTTTGCAGTTTTTATTAAATAAAAGCTTGTGCGAAAACAGGTAACTTATATATGTTATACCCGGCCACAGAACGCCGAACGGAGTGTTTCTCTTTTAATTTTTAACTCTATGGTTTTTCTACAGCACCAGGGTGACGCAACATTGTTATTTGTTTACCTTTTTCTAGTATGCTTTTTGCTCATTTTTGATAAATATTTTATTGTTCGTTTTGAATTGGAAATAATGAACTATATATTTTTTAGACAGGTCAAAACGAATCTGAATCTGTTTAAAAATAAAAGCTAAAAAAACTATTGTGTTGACTAAGTGCAAAGTAAATATCGCTATTGGTTCTTAAACTAGAATATTGCTATGGGGACGGGGAACTGCAGAAGTTGCACAAATGTACCTTAGGCCCTTGTTTATATATTCTTATATACAAGGCTTAGGCTGAGTTATAAAATATTTTATTAAAAAATATTTTAAACGCTCTCCAAAAATGTTTTTTGTCTTTGATTAAAGGTACAGATGCAGATAGTGTTATATTAGGATTTGTCTTACACATGTTTGCAATTTAAGAGGCCTTTTGGTTGCCATATAGCAAACAAAAGGCAGTCTAAAATAATTTTTCCCATCCCCAGCAATTGCAGTATATTATAAGGACCGAGGTTAAATCCGGGGGTCCAAATCATGTTTTCTTCGACAGAAAGTAAGAAATATATTTTTTGATAGACCTACAGCACGGTTTTAGGAAAAACAATGTCACCACTAGACCAAACAATTACAAGTTTAGTGGAACTTTCCAAAGAAAATAACCAAGGTAGTTACTCTTAAAATCTGATAAATTTAGGGAAACCGTTATGTAGGGAGCATCCTACCGTACGAACCATCGCATCGTAAGATTTTTTTATTAAATTCACACTTTAATAGTAAAATTAAAAGCGTGACTATGCGATAGGTCAAATAAGCCATAATATGCCTTTTAGTAAAGTTTTAGTGAAAAATGCAAAGCCAAGAATATTGACAATACCAAAAAAAAAAAAAATACTAGCAGGGTCATTTCAGAAGCCAAAACACTTAAAAATAAGTACTTTGAGATCCAGGTGAAGGTCCACAGACAGAATAATGAAAAGATAAGAGGAGGCAAATTCCTAGAAGAGCCATTTTAAAAAGAACGAGGGGTGACCAAAAATTCGAAAGATGGCAGGATGGATTGGAGGAGACAATAATTCAGGTTAGAACTCAAAACAAATATGCTGGTATAATTAATTATTTACAGCCAATGGTTGGAAATACCACATAACAAACTTGTTTTATGTTATGTAAAAGGTTATAATAAATAAGGTTGCGATTAAAATATATTTTAGGGCCTAAACTAGTAGACCTAAACCTAAAATTTTAGACTAACCTAAACAATATAGTTATCGAGAAACTCTTATTGCAGCAAACTGGAATTTAAATTAAACCTTTAAAATATAATATATGTAACGTTCATATTCACGGGACAATATGAATTTTAAGCTATTTTTCTTGGAATTTGCAACATATGTTTTTCAACCCCCTGAACACCTGGAATTAACTGTTTAAGGGAAAATATTCTTTGTGAATGACTACGAATCTTGATGATGTTCTTTTATCAGACAAAAATTTAGTGTGTACTGGAAATGTACTGGAAATATAAATAAAAAAAAAGGTCTTTTCATACCTAGTCAAGAAATTTCAACAGCTGGCTTTATACATATTAAGAGATTTGAATGAGCTCAATACAAAGCCCTTAAGGAAAATAATGAAAATTATAACGCGTTCTTTGTTCCAACAAGTTTTTTTTTTCTGAAGTTTATGACTGGTGGCTCAGAAACATAAAATGTGCAGATCAAAACTTTATGCTTCCTAAATTCAATTCAATTCAAAATGTCTTTATTAGGTATATAAACAATTGTATACAAATTAAAATAATAACGATGGCGACGTTTACATTTGTGGTCTTCCACGCAACCATCAAGGTATGTACTACTAGATCATAAAGGTACTTCAATAACCTAGTATTGATGCATCAAAATCGGGCTAGGGTACCTATTGTAATTATTTAAACGCTAGAGGTTTTTGAGACCAAGAATATCATATACTGATAGAATGGGAGGTGTAAAACCTAAATTTTTTTTGCACCTTAATTTTAACACTACTAAAATTTGGAAATGGTTTTCCAGCAAGAAACCTAGGTTCAACTGCAACCTAAACAAACCATTGATTGCCAGGTTTCTCTGGGCACAATCAAACAGTATAATATAACATATAAAAAATGGTGGGCCTTTTGTCAGTTAAACATGATTTTCCAATACAGTATACTCAGTATATTTTAAAAATTTTAAGTCAAGAATATCAAAATAATTCAAAATATAACACCCTCAACGCTCACCGATCAGCCCTTTACATCTTAACGGATGCGGGGAAAACTGAATCAGTGGAAAGGCTTATGAAAGGTATATTTAAATGTAGATCATCATTCCCAAAATATGAAAAAATTTGGGATCCGCATCCGGTGTTAGTAATGCTTGGAAAACTGTATCCATTACATGACCTTGACTTGAAAATTTTATCAATAAAATTAATCTTATTACTGGCCTTATGTACAGCACAAAGGGTTCAAACTCTATCAAGTATACGGTTGGAAAATACACATCATAGAGAAGAAGGACTGCACATTAAAATTAACGATATTTTAGAAACATCTACCCCAAAATCTGCACAGCCGAAGCTTTAACTTTTCTTTTTTGCTGAAAACCCCATCTTTGTGCTGCCACCACGATTTTGCATTACATAGAACGTACTAAAAACCTTAGGGGTAACGAACAACACTTATTTATAACAACAAAAAATCCATACAGACGGGTCTCCACCCAAACCTTAAGTAAGTGAATAAAAGAAGGTTTAAAAAGAGGGTTTAAAAAGAGAAAAATGTAGATAAATTTAAAGGTCACAGTACACGACATGCCGCGACTTCTGCGGCGGTGCGAATGGGGGTAACCATTGAAACCATTCGCAATGCAGCAGGCTGGTCCGAAAAATCACTAACGTTTTGTAAATTTTATAACAAACCAATAATAAGTGGTGCCAAAGAGCAGTCGTTTACTAATTTTACATAAACGACATTATTAATAGCAAAAAATAAGAAGTAGATTGTTAAGTCGTGGATACTTTAATGTTAATTGTTCGTCGTTATAGCAAATTAAAATATATAAACTTTATAAGTTTTGGTATAGTAGTTTATTAGAGTGTGATTTATTAAACAATAAGCTACTATACGTATTATGTTCATATAATTATTATAATTTAATAAGAAAAATAGCATAACGGGAAATGTTATAAATGTTACATACTATCAAGTTCTTATTATAATTAACATATATATATTTGTTTTGCATTTTCTTAAAATGCAGCAAAATTTACATGCAGATCGCCTTAAATTTCTTTAAACATCTACATGGTGATCTAGGAGGACGTGTCCAACTGAAGTATAATTAAGGATTAAACGACTTACCTGTAAGGAAGTTCAATCCAAATTATACGAAGTTGGACACGTCCTCCTAGATCACCATGTAGTAATACTTCTGTCACTGTTTTGAGCGCATGTTTAAAGAAAATGATTCACCGCCTCTTATATCACACCACTTTTGTATCTCATTATACTTCTGAAGCATTCTGATCGCCGTTGGGTCGGGTATGTATCTATCATATAGGTAGTTTACCTTTGATAGTGTGATTCACTTTGTGAGACACATAAGGGTGGGTTGATCTAGGAGGACGTGTCCAACTTCGTATAATTTGGATTGAACTTCCTTACAGGTAAGTCGTTTAATCCTTAATTATATGTATACAATTTAATTAATCAATATCGTTCAAATTCTCTTTAACACTCAGTTCGTGTTTTTTTATTGCATTTTAACATAGCAGTGTTGAAATTTACTACAATTCAATGGATATTTATATGTAGAGCACCTCTATATATGCATATTTCTCGGAGACTTTTCTATGTTCACAAGCAACTGAATTCTTCAATATTAAGACTCCTTAATAAATATATTTTATATTAACCTAATATATATTTTCTTAATTTATATATCTATATAATTCTTCTTTAATATATTTTTCACAGAACCGTCATAATTAAAAATTCTAAACATTCTTAGTGTCAGCAAAAATAAACGATAGATGGTAGATGGGGAAATGGCTGGAGAATGACAATCGATGACAATTTTGGCAAGGTCAAGCCATAGATATGTCGTTTTATATTGAGTAAAAATTATTTTTAAATGGCGTAATTTAAAACTCGACAGAAAATATTTATTTGGATAAAGATTCGTGTGTATGGAAACATTCTATCCTTTTTTAATCTTTCTCTAATTAGTGTTAATTTTTGACAAGTTATATGTGAATTTTTTACAAAATAAAATTTATAATAAAAGGGTACAATTGGACAAAATTGATAAAATTGATGATATTTCAAAAAGAGGTCAAAAAAATAAAAGGCACCATGCTGTACAATGTACGGTGTAAAAGGGCTGTTTATGTTATGTTTATGGGCTATACAGGGCCTTAAATAGGTGCATATAAATATTTTTAGGGGTGCTATATTTTGACCCCAGAAACACGATTATGAGATTCTCAAAAGGAGTGGTTCTCAAAATTTAAAAAAAAATGTTTTTTTTTTCAAATTTTCAAAGTAAAATAACTCGGTTATTTTGGACTTATTAAAAAAACTGTAAAGAGAAAATATGTTATCTCTTTACTCTTTTATCGAGATCCAGCCGTGAAAACATTTGCACTTACATATTTAAGGATCACCCTGTATAACTATCAATATCCCAAATATTGTACACGAGTATCTGTTGTGAGTAAATAACAGAATTTTATCTTAAAAGGAAATACCAAAGATAATTCTACTATTGTGTTAACTATAATATTCTTTGGAAATACCTTGAATGCCTCTGCAAAAAAGCCTCCTAGGTTCAACTCCTAGGTTTCTGAGGAATAAACAATGTATTGGAAGTGGTTAACAAAAACGGAAGTTGTTTTTATTGGCGGGAAAGAAAAGTTATATAAGAAAATTACAAAAACTAAAGTAAAATATACTAAGAAGACTGAAGCATCAAATTCCATATTTCCTTCTCTTATGCAATACATGAATGCAACACAACAATGAAAAACAACAGGACGAATTCATTAGGACTTTAAAAGACAACTTAAATCTAAATTAATTATTGTACTGCATATTCATTTCTTTGAGCACTATGAAACTATGATTAAAAATGAGTTTTAATCTATGAATTTTCCAAGGAACAAGCAGTATTACTAAGCAGTAGCTATTCACTTCCATTTCAAGTCTGTTATGGAATCTATAATTGTTGTAATTCCAAATATAACTAAAGCAAGTCAACTCCGACGCCGACCTCGGTGTTGACTATCATTTTATTGTTTGTTTATTTTATTACACTTTAGAAATTCTATAATTCTATGTACTATATCATGATAATGATAAAAATATATTTAACTAAAATTTAAAAAAAATCAAAATAATATACACAGGTGCAGGCTTCTACAATCGTATTCAACTCATTGTAGAAGCAATTATCAACTCTATAGATAAGTAGGCAACATTGAAACAGACCTATTTTTTATGTGAGAATTCTTCAAAAATATTATTCATTGATCGCTGTTGCCAACTATGTCATTGAGGTAGGCCTGTTCCAAACACCGGAACACCGTTTTAATACCGGTGTTGGGCTGACACCGGTGGCCAAATATAGACTATCCGGTGTTCCGATATCGATACCGACACCGGTGTTAGCACCGACACCGGTGTTCATTTCGATACCGGTGTTCATCTACAACACCGGTGTTCATCTCGACACCGGGTGTTGGTCTGGACACCGGTGTTCATCTCGATACCGGTTTTGACTACGACACCGGTTTTGATATTGACACCGGTGTTTTGTAAAAGGGTTAAAGAAGAAATAATGATAATTAATAACTTCAAAATAAACCTGATAATAATAATGTCGTATCGGTGCTTATTTTTATAGTTTATTAAAGCGCGCCGACTTTAAATTAAAGCTTTCAAGCTTAAATATAATGTTTCTATCAGACTAATCACTAAAATAAAGTAGAAGCGTCAGATAAACAACTATTAAGTAAAAAATTGTTTAATCAAAAACAAATAGAAAACAAAACAAAACATAAACAAATATTCGTAGCTGTAAAATAAACTAAAAAATATTACATTAAAAAGCTAAAAAAACAAACCAACAGCACCATCGACATCGACGATCGACACCGGTGTTCATTGCGATACCGGTGTTGAGATAACACCGGTGTCAAGATAAACACCGGTGTTGTAGATGAAAACCGGTGTCGAGATAAACACCGGTGTTGAAATGAACACCGGTGTTGAGATAAACACCGGTGTCGGTGTTGACACCGGTACACCGACTGAAACACCGGTGGTCATCAACACCTAACACCGGTGTTCAAATCTCAACACCGAACAGGTCTACATTGAGGGTCGGATCTATCATACAAGTGAATTTAAGAATTATTAATTGATGTGTTTTTTAAATTTTATTTTGACTTGAAATTGCCCTGTGTCTATGGATTGTCCCATGTAAGCTCAGTAGATTTAGTATTAAGTTTAGTTTATAGTTGAAACGTTGTGGAAAATTTTCTAAATTAAAGACAGTCATTTCAAATAGATATTTCATTTCATAATTCATCTACTACTTTCAAACAAATGTTCTAGACACCTTGTCTAGCTACGTTACATCTTCAAAAATGGTAATACTTACTTACATAAAGCCTATCCAGTACTGAGTCTGCACCATCGAAATCGATACTCAGTACGTCCCTATCGGGTTTTTCTAATCTTGGAACGTGCATGGTGACTGTTGCCATACAATACTTGGTTTCAAAGGGCGCCTTTGCTGAGAGACATTGTTCAAAATGGCCCATTTGAAAGGTGTTGCCTCTGAGGATACCAGTAGAAGATTTGGCAGTAGCATCCCACACTGTAACAAACCATTTATGTGCATACATCCAACAGTATTGACTAATCCTGTATATACAAGACATATTATAGTTTATTTAGTTGCAATTAGTTCTATAGTTCTTAAGAGGAAATTTAATTTTTCATCAATAATTTTGAAAAATCGGTTAATTAATTTTAAAATGAATTTATACATTAAACACTATAAAATTAGAATGGGAATACAATATAGTTAATAAACAAAGCAAAAAATGTAAACAATTCCATTTACGAAAATATAATTAAAAATACAAGGCTAAAATTAAATTTTAAATCACCATATTAATTATCAAAAGTATTTTCAGTGGGTCTCACTATACTTTAAGACAACTGCATAGAATAATTCAAATCAAAATACGACTTTAAATCCTGCTTATACAGGGTGTCCCAGGAATAAGTGCAAGTATTTTAACTGGTAGTATAGTTCAACCCCAGAAACACGCCTATGAGGTTTTTTTCGTGAAAAAAAAATTTAAAATTCGAAATTTTTTGAAATTTTTTTTGGATTTTTTTTAGTTTTTAGTTAAAAAACATAATATCTTGATAATATGGCAACATAGGTATTAGATTAAATTTACAAGAAAGAAAATGCAGAAAAGATCTAGTGGTTCTGAAAATTTTAGCAAAAAATCATTTTTTTAAAATTTTCAAAGTAAAATAACTCCGTTATTTTGGACTTATTTGAAAAACGATAAGGACAAAATATGTTTCTTTTATTGAGATCTACCACCCCTTAAAATACTTGCACTTATTTCTGGGACACCCTGTATATGTGATTGTTTATAATAGTATTTCTGCGTGATAGGTATATCCTATAAAAAAATGCATATCAATTGAATTCATTGTGCATTTGTATTTTAAATAGTTCTTAAAGCATTTTTTAATGTTATTCTTGGAAATATGAACTGAGCTGGTGTATTTAAGAGTATATTTATCTTTAAGGATGTAGATTGATTAATCATTGATTTACAACATGGTCATTTTGATTTTTATTGTAATTCTATATATTTATGCACGAATGAGTTTATTGAATGTATTGAATTGAATTCATTAAATAAATTAGGATAATATATCTATTAAAAATGCTGGATATTTGGTTTTAAAATATTTCAAACAATATTCTTCGTAGAACTTGAAAGAGAGATACTTGTTAGGTACCATAATCTGACCTAACACTTATTAACAATTTAAAACTTAATCTTAATATTAGAAAGAAGAAAGAAGTCATAATCAGCAGTGGTGTGCCGTATAGGGGGCACGGGGAGGAGGGGCGATTGCCCCCTCCGCCCTTAGGGCTCAAACTCACTGACGACCAGGTCGCAACGACCTGGCCGTCGGCTGGCCGGATGCATTGCGTTTTTAGCAGCGGCCAGATGAACGACCAGTGTCAACAGAGTTGTCAGATCTAACGATTTTTTACGTTTTACCAATTATAAAATATTGTTTCCGAAATGTTAAAATATCCGAGTTAACTAAAAAGCGAAGTTGCTATTCACAACAAACAAAAAGTATTGTGTACGCGCGACCGACAAAAAGGGAGATATTCTGTTTCTTTTTTCTACTGATATGGCGCCCTTATCGACTTTAGAAGTAAACATATTAGGGCCATCGTAAAAAAAGATCGTCAGACACTGGCTCTAAAGGCGACGTTACACGGTGCCAGTAACTTGTTCAAGTCACTAAAATCCAAAACTAAAAGCAAGTGTCTTTGATGACTTGAGCATTTACATGGTTCCAGTACTTGTTCATTTTAGCCGAGTAAACATATTACGTTTTAGACTAGGTAAAAAGTTTTCGTTTTATTTTTTTTATTAATGAATTCGAGGCAGAAATGATGAAGAAATCTATGATATCGTGTGTGAAAGTAGTGATAGAGGAGTTAATTGATAGTTTACAAGATACGTTAAAACCAAGAAATAGGATATGGGTTAGGAAATGGTTGGCAAGGAGAAACACCCATGGCGCCTCTAACATGCTCTTAAGGGAACTCGCCCTTGAAGATATTCAATAATACAGAAATTGCATGAGAATGTCTCCTTCTTTGTTCGACATACTTATAAAAAGTATATAGAAAAAATAACGCCAGCTATTATACAGCGATCTGACATGATTATGAGAATGGCCATACCTGCCAGAATAAAATTAGAAATAACATTGTCATATTTAGCCACTGGTAATAGTTACCGAAATCTGCAACAGCATTTTCGAGTTTCTCGACCTGCAATTTCAAAGTTTATTCCGGAGGTGTGTGACGCTATCTATGATGCTTTAAAGGATTTTATGCAGGTAAATAAACTTTGTTCTTAACATTTTCAAAAGGCCTCATTTATCCCCAATTGGTATTGTCTTCACCAAAGGTACTTTCATACGCTTCTCAAATGATATTTGTGATAGTGCTGTCATTCTCCAACTGCATAGATGTTTGGTACGATTGTGCAGGTGTATCGAATCCTGGAGACGGAGAATGGTTGCATGACCTAATGATGTGTCTTGAAGACTCGGTTGAAGATGGTAATGGGGCAGTGTACTTTTGAGATTTGCCAGTCTAAAACGAGTCAAAAGTTTCTGTATTTCATCTTGAGCTGTAATAGCCTGTTCAAGCGGCAACTGCTTCAACTGTGCTCCTACACTCTTCCCGAATATGTCAAATTCATTTTCTGATGGTTCCATATTTTGAATAGATGTAGCTAAAGAACTTAACTCTTTAACACAAGCAGCAACTTCTTTGACTTTTGTTTTTCCAAGCTTGTTACGTTTTGGGGTGGGCTCGTTGTAAATATTAACTGTGTTCTTTTCTCCTTCTATTGCTAGAGATGCTTCATGTGTTGTCTGTTCTGTTTCATCTTGTGATGTCTGGGAATCATTATCGATTTCAATTCCTGGTGAAGCCTAAAAAAATAAACTCTAGTACTGGATGTCCCAAAGTTAAGTGTATTGTATTGCGATTCTAAATATTATGTTTTATTTTAGGTTCCCCAAACCAACAAAGAATGGAAAGCAATTGAAAGTGATTTTAGGAATAGATGGAATTTTCCAGGATGTTACGGTGCCATTGATGGGAAACACATAAATATCCAGGCTCCTGTGAATTGTGGCAGCGACTATTTTAACTATAAAGGACAAAACAGTATCATTTTAATGGCAATTGCAGACGGTAATTACAATTTTACGTATATTGACGTTGGTTGCAATGGGCGGTCTTCAGATTCGGTCTTCAGAGGAATTTTTGGGCAGTGCTCTATGTTTGCAGCCGCCGAAAATAATATATTACCCGATGGTGGATTTTTTGTTGGGGATGACGCTTTTCCTTTAAAACATTATTTACTCAAACCATATTCAAAAAATTCACTTACAGTTCAAGAAAAATTATTTAATTATAGACTGTCTTGTGCAAGAAGGATTGTGGAAAATTGCTTCGGCATTTTAGTCTCCAGATTTCGGGTATTTCAAAAACCGATATCTTGTGGATAATCATCAGTTGATAAAATAGTTAGAACGTGTTGTGCTATGCATAATTGGCTAAGAAGCAATTCTAATGGTTATTTGCCAAAAGGATCCGTTGATGAAGAAGAGGATCCATTTGCCAAAAGGATCCGTTGACAGAGGAAGAATTGTTCTTGGTATTTGGAGAACAGAAGTAGAGGGCCTGTCATCCGTTTCACGCATGGGAGGCAACCATTCATCACAGTTTACCAGAAATTTAAGGGAAAAATGTAAACATTATTTTATGACTGTGGGAGCAGTTTCGTGGCAAGAACGAATGATTTTTTGAATGTTCAATATTTTGTATACCTACACTTATTACTATGAATAAATTGTTTTGGCTAATTAATTCTACTACAGTTACTTACCAAATTGCTAATTGTTTCCCTTCTTTTATTTATTTTATGCAAAAACGCATACATTACTTGAAACCACTTCATTTTGTATATATACATCATCTGCTCCTGCTCCAGAACTTTCAGATTTTTAATTTTGGCGACCTCTTGCACATAGGTCGACCTCAAGTTTTTAATTTTGTTTTTTACCTCTACTGGACCGAAATCTTCAATAGCCATTGCATTAGCTATTCTTCTAATAGCGGCTTCACGTGCTTGTTTATTTTTATAAATAACAAGCTGTGTATTCCACAGGCATTCTTCATCCCTATACATTTCAACAACTGTTTTGTCCTCTGGCCATTTTGAACACATTTTAAAAAACATTCACGCAAACTCACACTACAGCGAAATTCTTTTTAATGTGTACTAACACTAAAACCAAATGCTTGAATGACTACTAAAAAGTGTGTTTACACAGGTTTTTTTTTTCGATTTTAGTGGGAGTAGGAGAGCCACTTGCTCCAGTAAATAGGACTGCTTTCTATTCGCTGGACTGGAATCATAGCTAAACCTGGCGCTAAATTTTAGTACTAGAATACTTGTCTATACACAACAAGTACTAAAATCCAGTACTGGATTCTAGTGACTTGAACAAGTTACTGGCACCGTGTAACGTCGCCTTAAATATAAGCAGGTAGAAAGTGTAGCTTCCAGTTATTTCAATGTTTACAATATAACGAAGAATCAACAGTAATTACTTCTATTTTTATGAATGTTGAAGTTACTTTATTTTTTTTTTCAAAATAATGTACCTAGTAGAAATATAGTCTAATGAAGCTTGTTTGAAAAACGTTAAATTAAATATAATATTTAAAATACAGTTGTCCACTTTGTACAGGGTGGGTCAAATTCGACGCTTTTAAATGGAAACACCTTTTTCTATAGGAGATAGACGAAAACTAATATTGCTGTCTGGAGCTCAATTTACATCAAAAACATGATGGTGAAAACCGCACATCGATATCTGTTCAAAAATATGAATTTTTAACAAATCGCTGTAACTTTTTTACTATGGAAATTTTTGTATTTTAATGAAAACATTTCCAAAGCACCTTTTTACGTAGAATTTAATGGTTTAAGTATATTTTTTTTTAAATTAATA